ATAAAACACATGAATTATGAAATTTCCATTTCAACTTAATTTGATAATATTTAAAATGGTATTTATAAATGTTTAACAACAAAACTCTTACTTAAGGATTTCTTAATATTGCTTACGTTTTGCTTCTGAGAGTCCGTGAAATTCCTCTCATTTTAACAACCGTACAACTGGACATCGGGCGTTGATTATTATTTGTTTCTGTTAATTTCCTGAAATCATTGTTTTCTTTAACAGATTTTGTTTTTTGTCGTATCACGATTGTATCTGGTGGTAGCTTTCGCAGAATTTCCATATTTTCACAATTCACCGCGTTGCTTCGAAGATTTGAACTCCCGCGTTCTGTTATTTCTTGTAATTGTCGTTGCAGGACCTTCTTCGAATCATTATTGCTTAATTCGATTACGTGACAATTTGCGTCGTTGACTCTGTCATGATTATTTATTTGTTGTTCTAACATGATCGTTTCTGATTTTTCCAATATTTTTTCTTCATTTATTAATGTTGAATTTGTACTCGAGTTGTGACAGAAAACGTATGTCATATTTTCGGCAATAGTTTTGTTTTGATCTTCGATCAATAAATTGACGTTTATGAGATTTTCTTACTTTCTTAAGGTGCGTTCGGATTCGCTACTCGTACTCTCCATACGTCATTGTAACTCCTGTTTATTAAATATTAAACAAGACCTACTTGCAGTTATACCCAGGCAAACTTGTACAACTGCATAATCATAAAATGCATAAAAAAATTATCCAATCACATTTCTATTATAAAGACGCGCGTAAGAAAATGAACTAATCATAGTTCTCCATTTTCTACCCGCAGAATGAAAATGAAAGACTCTAATTGGTTAATTCTCTTATGCGTTATAAACCTTAAGCTATAAGAAATTGACCAATCATAGTGGATTATTCTCCTCTTCTTCGACTATGATTCGTCCATTTTTTTATGGCTTAAGGTTTAAAATATCTATTGTAGCTTAGGAGCATCTCGTTTGACCACGTTGCAATTGGACACAGTCACTTATAGATCAATGCCTGGAGATTTTCCACTATATCAACCAATTAAAAATTTTATTTTAAATTGCTAAATGACAACGTTAATAATCGGGCACCATCCTATATGGAATTTCTTTTTAATCATCATCTCTTTTAATCCCTCTTTTAATCCCTTTTAATCATCTCTTATCCCTTCTAAGCAATCCGTCATTATTAATCCGAAATTATGCAAACTTCTCTTTGCTTCCCTCAAATTGTGTAATCTCAACATTTAAATTATCCCGTTCTCTTGCATGCTCGTCACAAGGCTCACATAGAGCTTAATTAGAAATTATAAATTTTATAGTGGAGGAAAAAGCTTAGTTGGATTTTAACTTAAAAATTGTTAATAAATGAAAATATGATTTGCATTTTGATTGCAATGCAAAAGATTGCTATAAAGTAGCTATAGCAATATCTATTTAACTGTTTTTTTCTTTTCGGAAAATTAGCCGAACAGTTATATTTCTTCACAAATCTATATGATGATTTATTCCTTGCATTATTAAGAAAACTTATATAGAACCAGATTTAGTATTTTAACTCATAAAAATTAATGATAGGATAACAATATAATTTATACTTTGATGCAATATAGATCATTGATTCAATCAAGCTGATTTTTTTCAGTCAGAGATATTTCCTATAAAATTTTTCTCAACTTCTTTCTTACACTATTGCCAAACCTTTGTATAAAGCCAAATTTTATATTTTATATGACTTTTAACAATTTTTAATAAATGAAAATTGTACACTTAGTAGTAGTATAATACAAACTTAGCAAAAAAAAAATTATTTTAACTTTCTTATAAAAGATTATTCTAAGAATCCTGAAAATGATATTACTGATTACAATCATATCATAATTATAATATGACTTTTGCTAAATATCATAACGATAATGTGATTTTGTAATAAAGATATAAATTTGTAGCTCTTTCGAGTGGTGTTTCCATAGTCTCTGCTGACTTCTTCTATGATTCCCTTTTGGATTTCTAATTCACTAAAATAGATTAAAGTATCATGTAACAAGCTAATCCTTAATCAAGTCCTTCTTGAAAAGCGTAGATATAGATTTTTAAGCTTCGTTACATATATTTTCAAGAAAACAAGACAGATACACACTTGACTATCCGCATTATTTTACGCTCATAAAGAACTTGATTAATGAATGCATTATATATCACCGATTGATACTTGACATATGATAAGAGGAACATTTTTATTCTGAATTAAACTGAAGATCAATAATCGTTTACAATTAATTTCTTTAATTTTAAAAGTATGAATATGTACTTCTGCATAAAACCAATAAACATCTAAATTACAATACAAATTAGTTGTAATTATATATTTAGAATATTAAATTAATAATGAACCATGATAAAATTTGTTTTT